ATACTGTGTTGTATTGCACATGGAATTCAAGCTAATTAGAACATATGTGTATTTTGATAGAAGTGATTAGGCAATAATCCCAACAATAGATCCAAACCGCATCGATTGTGAATATTTCATGGATTTTCAGTTTTATGGTCTATACTTTTGGTCAAAATTTTAAATTTGATGAGTTCCGAACTTTGTATTCCTTTTTTCAACAATCTATTAAATAGCTTCCTTACTTGTTCCCCGACAATAATGAAATGCCAGAATTTGTTTCGTTGCTGTTGAATAGATTCAACAAAGGAAAGAATATGAAATGAAGTATCATGTTGCCTAAGAGCCGGTCGTAAAATTCACAAACTTTTTTATTGAATATCATGATGACGTCCGAAAAGCGCATACAAAATTACACAATATTGCTTATATTGAGTGGTCCAAACAAAGCACCACTTTCCGGATCACAATAACACACTGAATAGTTCCTGTTTATGAAGATGCGTTTCACCTCAAGTACCATGGAAAATTATCTACTTATCACCACGTTATGTCAATATAAGGCTGTCGCTGCATTGTTATTCCACGTTAGTTAGCTTTTTGTCACCATCAACAGGACACTTGAAGCGGCACAATGGCGGAAACAAAAAATCATTGCCGGAATAATTGCTGGCTAATGTCTCATGTAACTGAATGTTTGCAATTGTCCGTATATTTCAATGGGAATCGTTCAATCACAATCAAACAATGCAACAAGAGATCATAAATCTATCTTTGCTTCCTTTTTTTCGCTCAATCACTTTGTCTCTTCGAAAAATAAAGAGAAACTGCAGTGTTTCTCGGTCAAACAATGTCTGCGGGTGTAAAAAAGACCAAACTAACTGAAAATGCTTGGAAATGATTCGATCAATGTCGATGCTATCCTTCGTAAAATCAATTCTTGATGCATTTGTACGCAGTCAATGTAAACTAGGTCTTTCAATGTGTCCATTTGAATTTTTTAGTTCGAGAAATTTACAGAAAATAAAAGCGAATCGTTTCGTATTGTTTGAATTTGCAATGCAACAAAAGGACCAAACAATTTTCAAAGTGCATATCGTATTGAATGAAAAAGTCAATGCTTAAAGATGGTGCACTCTTTGTGCATTTATTATGTGAAAAGAGACCACTTACTGTCACTTTGTTGCTGTTTCTTTTTTCCTTCGAGTCTCTTACTTTTGGCGAACGCAATGTCAAAAACAGTATTTAGCTTTTCTTTTCGAGAAAAATACTGAATTTTGTTTGACTTTCTTGGAATTGGATTGGGTACAGACAACTCGTCTTCTCTCATTGAACTGAATTCGCCATTATTACCATTGGTGCATGTATTCAACGAGAAATAATTGAATGTAGTGCAATTTCAAGCCAAGCAAATATTCAAATGTATGTCTGATTCATGGTTTCATCGCCTAGTTATGGGAAATTATTTGAATTAGTGAAACAGTTGACCATTGCCGATTTGTGGAGTTTTACATTTCGGCAAATGAGATAAAGACCCAAAACCGCAACGAACTTCAATCAGGCTACATAGTGTAGTATCATTCATGCACGTTCTCTTTTTCAAGTGTGAAGTGAAAATGAGTAAATTTCCGAGAAGTGTTACAAATCTATCTCCAGGTGAGCGCGAATTGCTGCTATTCATTCACTTTCCTTTTGTGCATATAATAGTAGCGTGCTCTCAAGATGTGCAACTGAAGCGAGCCAATTCAATGCAGCTCACGGCTCAGGCCTCTTAAGTGATGATATTTAATTTGATTGAGCTAGCGACACAATGAAAACCAATAAATATGATACAAACAGACGTTAAGTGCATCAATACGGTAAACAAAGGAATGAAAAGAGAAGGAACGCTTCATAGCAAAAGATGTAAGTCACTGAATGTTCTTCAATGGGCAAGCCATTGGATTTTTGCACCATTCCAAACGCATGAATGAAATGATTTTGAGTGCCGAAACAGTACGGCGATTGTGTTTAGGTATCGAAATGAAAAATTCAGTGGTTGTTTATTGAAATTTGCCAGAAAGGGCATTGGTTCAAGCATTGGTCATTGATGTGCCGCTCTTTTCCAACGAAAAACGTATTTGTTGCGTGTTACACAATGACACCATTTATTTCGATACCAGTTCCGACAAATCATCGCTCGTATGGCTGAAATAATTTCGGCAAATCGACTGTTTCTTAGTTTGTTTCTTATTCGACTCCATTCATAGATTCACTTCATTCTAAATTTATTTCTCGAAGCGCGTTCATTCATTGATACGTTTTCTATTCAATCGTTCTTTTCTGCTTCTTTTTAATTGTATCCAAAGTTTTATTTTTTTTATGCAGGTACGAAAATTGCGGAGAATCGAATGGCCAACATGCCGAAAAAGAAACTATCGAACGATAGAACAATTGAAGTCGAATAAAATAAATTCCGTTGCTATTGTTACTGTTTTCTACAATTTCTTTTAACAACAATGGATTACCTCTGCAAATTAATCGAATCGAACAAAAATACATACATTGTTAATCGATGTTTGCCATTGAATTACCGTGAAATTTTTTTTTAAAGGCGATATGAAACTCGAACAAAACGTAAAATGCGAAGAATTTATCGCATTTTCTGCCTCTCTTCCATTATTTTATTTTGTGTTTTTCATTCGTTCGCTTATTCCATTTTTGCTTGCTTCCACATCCAAGTGCAATGTTGATGTTGCCATCCAGTCTACCACTTTTCACTTTGCAATGCTCTTTTTCCTCTCTTGACATCGGCAACGAGACCAACAACACTTCTCAATGTCAACATGGGTTTAAGTATGTTCTGCCATTCAAAATTCCCTTTTCTGTTATTTCTTCTGTTGTTGATTTTCATCCTCATCTTCGTGTTTGACGTTGCCGTATCGTCCTTCGAACGATTTTTGTTGACAAATGTGATATGCTTACAAGGTTGACGTTGAAATGGATACAAATAAGGAATCGTGCGCCGTTATTCGAATGACTTCGACGCCGTATAATTATGGCATATTTTCGTGTTTGACATTAAGTTGCTTTCAAAAGGGTGCATTTTATGAATGCAGCGTTGAAACCCATTTAACAAAATATCATATTATAATAGCCATAATATGGTTTTCGGGAGCATTTGAGTAAAAACTATGTTGTGAAAGAACTTTTTTTGTGGTTGACTCTCGACGCACGAAATTGTGGTTCGGTGACAAATATCGATCACAAAGGCTTATAATTTGTGGCTAATTGAAAACACTTCATCATTGGAATTTGAAACCACTTCAAATTTACATTTGATGTACGTATATCAAGTTGATGGTTGAGTTAGTTCCATTTTTTCACGGCAGATCTGTAGAAAATGTTTTTGAGACTTTTCGAATTACATTCAATTGTTTGCCGTTGCTATGAATATAGAGAAATATTCATAAAAATAATCCTGAGAAAAAAGTCTGCTTCCTTTTCCCCAATAGAATTCGATCAAATCTCACTAAAGACCTTTAAATTGTTTTCATTACCACGGGCAAAAAAAAATCAACGAGCAATCAAAAACTAAAACAAACTTCTTTCTCTTTTCATTGCTTCGGGATTTTTAATATCTATCAAACAATCGAACTTCCTCTTCCGTTTGGCGCGTCTCTATTAAATTGATTGAATTACTAGAGAAAGGGGAGAGTACTTTACTCCGATTGACGTTTTCCACATTTAATGAAATTAGCAAATAAACCCAATTTTAAATAGGAAAAAATAATGAAGATTAGCAGAGCAATAATTGGGATTTCCTTTTGGTAATTCGAAAATAGCCCCGAACAATATAAACAAGCCATGATGGATATTATGCTTCTATTTCATTACTGCACATCCACTTTCCGAATCAACATACTAACAACATCATGAAATTCGCGCAGTCTGAATGCTATGCGGTTTCAATGTTAAATTCGCAGTTCATAAAATAGCGATCTGAATGTCATCATTGAGATAGCATTTTTTTTAAAATGATTTGTTAGTTTTGTCGATGCTCGGGCTGTATGCATCAAAATGGAAAATCAGCCATTAAATTAATTCAAGTGAATCACCCTTAATGCTTGTTGATATATAAAATAATCCCTTGATATGAGTTTGCAACACAATGAAACATATACGGAAACATACCACGGACCAACATTGGCTGAAGCGTTGATCTACCATTTCCATTGCTATTTGACATAGTGCGATCAACAGAAAGAGAGAAAGAAGACTATTGTCATTCATGAAATATAAAAGAGACAGCGAATGATTTTGGACGATGCCAGACAAAAAGGCGACTTCAATTGTTTCGTACCAACAGCAAAACACACGCTTCGAAAAACATTTGTTACCATTTTATTTGGCATTGTTAAATGGTTTATTAGTGTATTCGATACCTCTTGTACCCGATTTGAAAAGAATGAAGAGAATCGACAAGAATACAAACAATGCATTTTCATGATCATTGTTTATGCCATATTAACACACTAATGCACAAACACAACTGTGCGCATTGCATTCTATCGGTCGGAATAATGGAGAGGTGTAGTCTTGGAAGCGTTTAGCATTAGGGGTGAAATAAATATCCCAAATTGAACACTACCACTTTTTTCAGTTTTTCCTTTGTACACCATTCTACCACTGTTTGACTGGGCGGAGCACTCGAGTGAATTTGTTAAACGTCAGTAATTATAACAAATTGTAAACATTATTTGATTTGTTTCGGTTGTGTTTGCCGGCAAAAGAAAGACAGTAAGAGGGATAGAGGGAAAGAGGGACGAAATACGTCTCTCGCTATGGCATTTGATCAATCAAAAAGGATCTCGACAGAAAATGAGCTGAAAATTGTATATAAGTCAAACTCAACAGGACTCAAGCATCAGTTTCATTTCGGAAATCGATACGTGCAAATCTCTTATTTTGAGTGCCTTTTAAAAAATTTAACAGTGAAATTTTGGATTTTGAAGTGAAAAAGTGTAAAATAGAAAGCAAACATGTCGAGATCATTCCTAATGGATTCATTGCTAAGTGAAAAGCCATCAAAGCGAAAGTACGCCGAGACAGCAAGTCCAATCGGATTATCACCATTCATGGCACAGTATCCACCATATTATGTTGGCAGCTACCTTTTTTCGCTCGGCATCCAACAACAGCAACAGCAGCAACTTCAACAACACTTACATCAGCAAACATTTTCGCCATTCTTAACCGCTAATTTACCAAAATCTCCGCGCCAATGTGAAATAACACCTCCGCATGAACCTTCACATCTAATGGACTATAATAACGCTCATCTATTGACCGCTTCCTTGACTCCATCACCAAACGCTAACTCCTCGCTACATTTCTCAGCAGAACGAAATGGATCACCGAGCTTTGAACAGCGCAGTAAAAAATATAAATGTTCACCACCACCGTCGCCGCCAGCTTCAATCTCCGACTATGCTGATTCAAGCAAACGTATTCGCACAGCATTCACAAGCACTCAATTGCTCGATTTGGAACGCGAATTCGCCACGAGCCAATATTTAACACGTTTGAGACGCATCGAAATTGCCAACAAATTGAAATTATCCGAAAAGCAAGTGAAGATTTGGTTCCAAAATCGTCGTGTTAAGCACAAGAAAGGCGACGTTAGCCCAGGTTTATCTACGTTTGAACATCAACACCAATCATATTCAACGATCTGCTGCTGCAAATCATCCAATGCCGCGGGCGAGTGCCACAGCGCTTTCTGTTCCAAGAATTAATTTTAGCGAGTTTAACTTAAGTAAATGAGAATGTAAATTTTAATTCGTATAAAGTAGATAGGTCGATTCAATTTAAACACAGAAACGAAAGTATTTTCATTTGGATTTTTCACAGACTAGATACGAAAATAAAAATAATAATTGAATAATTTAAAATGCGGGTCTCGTTCATTATTATAAATTTAACACAATTTCAGGATTTCTTTGGTGTGTTTCGATTCATTCATCGGTAAATCGGCAATTCATTCAGGAAACTCGAGTATCGTATTCATAACTAGAACTTGATTGATTGTATGTCGTATGAATGTGCATTTTTTACTTGATCTGCTGAGCACTTCATTCATAAAATGACGCACAAACCACTTGTATCGATTTCGGAAAATGAATGACAAGATTTAAATGATGATTTTCATACGAATTTGGTTGATTGTTCGGTTATCGGTGTGTATACCTGAATTTAGTCACTTGAATCGATTTAAAATCCAAAAAGTAAAAAGAACCAACGAATGAAAGGCCATTTCATTCACATTCCCATTCACCAGCGAAGAAAATACATGCAATGAAATGATCGGAAAGTCTTTGTCCATTTATACACACAATTTGACAAAAAGTCAAATCGATTCGATCTTTACTGTTTTTAGTTGCATCATTTATTGTTTTGTGCTGCTCGGCATGAAGCCGATACCTTTTCTCTATGCCTTTTTTTCTACATCAAACCGTTTTGTTCGATGCACTATTCACGTTGTTTTTTGCCCATTTAATTCCGTTTAGTCAAATAAAGTCTTAGTGCATCAACTTGTCGTTGCTTTGCAAAGAAAGAATAAGGTGGAAAGAACAAAATCTATGAATGGAATTTAAACGACAATACATACTATTTTGGCTTTACTGATATATCTCATTCCGTTGAATCCATTTTCTTTCAGTGTTTTTTTTTTAGTTTTAATAGAACATCAAACCGTAAAACCTTTTGAATAGTGAACATGACATGGTGCATAGTAGGAGAAATATAAAATAGCCAGCAGCATCTATTCTTCTTTCGTTTTAATTGTTATTGAATAGAATTATTGGAACAAATGTTCAGAACATCGAAATACTTGTCACAGTTAGTACATCGTGGGAACGAATGTGATTTTTTTGTCATCCCAACAGAAAAATCGGTTTATATCAAAGTGAATGCATTGCTTTTTAACGCTCAAGATCGATTATTTGCACTTGAACATTACAATTGCTCAGTGGGTGCACCGAAAACACGGTACAACAATTTGCCAAGGAGAAAGAAGTTCAATTCAATTTTTTTTTCCCAAATGTTTTCTCAGTGTGAGATGACATCACAAGCGATGATCGAACCGATGCTCGCCTATGCTTTTCCTGGTTTCTTTTTAATTTTATGTTCACCAATACGTTCCATTTTTGCGTGCAATTTTCAGTCCGTGATAATATGAATTTTTCAACTCAAGTAAAAAATCATTCAGAAGAGAGATAAAATCGTTAATCGAATTCATCCAAGTTCATGAATTGAAATGAGATTTTCAGGATTTTGCTCAAGACCTCACTTAAAATCTCTTGAAAGATTATCTCGAGATAAAATGAAAGGGATCAATTGGATTTTCGAACTGAAAACTTCCTATTTTCACATTGAATACTGTTGTACCACCTACAAAAGAGCCGCCTTTGTGCAATGCAAAATCCAATTTGGACAGTAATTATGTAAAATGAAACTGGAAATATCCGTTTTGCGGATTTTTCATACCATTTCTATTCATCATTTAGCACTGGCCAATTTCCGGCAAACGAGCAGAATGCGTTGGCACACTTGCGCACACATATCCGCTCGGATTAACATCCAAATGCAATTATAATAGTAAAACGATTAAAAAACTGTAAGTAAGTTGTAATCTTTCAACAGTTTTCTGTATTTCGCTTGGTGTGTACTTTTTTTTAATGTAAATCTCATTCTGTTTGATACAAAGTCGATAATCTGCTGAGTTCAATGAATAGATGGTTGAATGCATGAATGAATGGAATTGTAACAAATGCTGCCGACTGAAAGCCATTGGAAATTGTTCATTTCTTTTTCGTTTTTTTTTAAATGCGTGTTGTGATTCCATTGATGTTTGCTTTCACTTATTCCCTTAATTATATCGCCTGTTTATAAACTCTTTGTCGAGTAGAAATGACAAGCAGAAGGCAGAAATTACGCTATTTTTAGAAACAGACACCAACATTTTGATTATCTTGTAAATGTCGATGGAGAACGTCATCGAAGAATCGACGAAAAAATAATTCAATAAATGTTTTCAATATTCCATTGATTCGAAGGATGATTGGGTCGGCAAAGATGAAACCTGGTTTCTGGCATTCAAACATTCAAAGCAGCTAAAGAAATAAAAAACCGAATTTCATTCATGCAGCAAAAATCGTGCGTACACAGAACAAAACAAGTATAACCACACAAAACGAGTGAATAGCGCGTTCACAAACAAAAATCCGATTGTGAACCAGAAAAAATGAGATAAAGGAGAAAAGAAAGAATGTTTGAGAGATTGAAGAGAAAAATCACAATCATCATATGAAATCATATGCTCGTACGCACGCATGCACAACAAATGGTTACAATATGTGAATAAAATATGGATGGATTTGTCAGACAACCCCATCATCATTTGCAATTATGATATTTTCAATGTAATTATCGGTGGCATCAATGCCATTTATAATTAAGTAGATCTTCATTCACATTTTATTGTGCTACCTCATGTGTACGAGTACAAAAGTAATCCTCGAGCTGATATGTTTGCCATTGAAATTGATTGGATAAATCTATGCAAATGGTTTGCCACAGTTCGTTCGTTGTTTGCAGCTGAAACTGTCATTTTGTTCGAACAATTCCCAGGGAAATGATCTCATTTCATAACATGTTGCCGATGATACACTTATTTGGTACATACAAGCATAAAGACAACGTATCCTCTGGAGAAGATAAAATGTTAGTACATATGCATATTTTATTATGTTGCATCGATATCAAAACTATATACTTTTGCCCCACCCGCAATCGAGCCCTCAGGCCAAATCCGACGACCGCATTCTTAATAGATTTTTCCGTAGGATATGCACTACTGCTACACACTATTCAATTGGCACATTTTTCTGACATTTTCTATGAAAGCGTTCCCAATACGCTTATTTATCGCTTTAAATGAGTTTATTTCATGTAATCAAATAATTTTATTGTATCGTAATGATATTAGCTCAACTGTTGAGCAAACATTCAACCATTCTGACTCGCAAGTTCAATAGCTGTGTGTCCGCCATCAAACTAGAACCTTTCATTTGCATGACATTGTAATGAAAGTAAATTGATATTCGTCATTGTTCTCAATCGGATTTGCACTCGCATATTCTGTTTATCGATTTCAATTACATTATTTTACCATACAACACTGCACAAAGCTTCGAGAAAAAATTTTGTATCTGAAAATTATTTTGGTGTAAAATCCGTAACGCGTTTGCAATATCAAAACCGGAAGAAAGCCTTAAAAACAAAGAGAGTAAACCTGAATTTTGGTTTTAGGTCCCTATTCAAACTGTTGATTCGTGAATTCCACACAAAAGCTGCTGAAATAACGATAAATTTAAAATCATCATTCAAAAGAGTAGATAACAACGACAGGCAGGATGAGAATATAAAACGCATGAGAGAATTCGCTCGTTAATTATGTTGTTGACAAGCGGCTTGCAAAAACTCCAAACAAAGTTGAGTCAAAAGCAATAAGACGCCTCGATTCCAAGAATGCGGCAAGCAACTATGTCGTTCACTCCGCCTGGCATGAAAGGATTCAACTAACATATTAAAACGAGCTCTAGCTGACGGAACGACAAAAGTGAACCAATTTGATACTTTTATTGCTGTATAAATGAGCTGTATGGACCAAATAATGGGAATAACATACCAAACTACAGCCTTTACAAACTATCATGGTGCGTTCAGCGAAATAATATGTTGTTGGTAGGTCACACGTACACACAGAAAATCAGAAACTCAGAAAGATGAACACGACGGATAGACAACGGAAAACGAATTAAGGGGTGATGATAAAGCGAGACATCAGCCAACAACAAACGAAACAAATTACTTGAAATCCAATAAATGAAAATGTACCAGAAAAAAATCAAGAGAAAACTAAAATAGTTGTCTCGCATTCAAACCATCGTGTAGGTAATTATTTATTCGCATACGGATTCAATATCGTAGCCGCGCTGTCAGTTAACCAGCCATGTTTAAAATGAGTTTAATGCGATTTGTGTGAAGTGAATTAGAAAAGAATACACAACAACAACGGCGGGAAGGATACGTGCGTTCAGTAAACAGTAGCTGAATTAAAAAAGGGATACATTGTGTGAAATGCATTGCGTCATCGGGACCGATGATGCACACGACACTATGCGATACGGCTTACGACACACTCAAAAGCAAATAGAAAAAAGCAGTTTTTATTAGCGGTTTCCATTTTGTATTCCCGTGCTATTATTCACGTTTTACGAACGAGATTAGTTTTTTTGTCAGTCCTTCATTTTATGGTGTTTTATTGCTGTTGTTATGGGTGTTTCTTCCTCTTGTCATTGCAATCGTGTTTGTTTAGTTATTAATGTCATTAAACAAGGCTGAGATGGAGCGTTGAAAATGTTATTTTTTTCGGACTCATCCAATTCGTTTTTCATCGTTACATTCGAGTAGTTTGGTTTCAAATGCTGCTTTAATCGTTCACCTTATTTTTTATTGATGGAAAACGGCCCATTTTCTGTCCGGATCTGTGCCACCTTTTTAAAATTTTGATATTGGTTCGTATGATGGCCTATATGGGACTAGGCCATCGGTAATGCCATAGTTCTCGATGTGAATTTATTCTGACTAATTAGCGTGAAGAAATGGGTTTGTTTCACATACGATTTCATTTGATTCGCCGCTTTGTATATCACGATCTGCGTGCGTATCGTTACAACCATCCATTGAATGGATAAATAAAA